TTAGGAAATGATGACGGAGAACTTAGAAGAAGCCATGGGAGCAGCATTCTACACTTATCAGCATCCTCGTTTCGATTACAACACTCCTCTTCTATCCTTTGTCTCTTTCATTGTGGCTTTTTCATCACGTGTCCCTTCAGTCAGTGTTATAATACAAAAATTCAAATCACTTTGTTACAGTTGGCGTCATCAAATATTCCCGAGCAAACTATCATAATGAGCGAGCAAACTGCAAATTTTGAAAGACTTTTTTGTAATGTGTTTATCATTCTCATCACTCAACATTGGAGGAGTTTCTTACATAACATTGGTCTTCACAACTTCACGATCCACAAATATATTAACTTTAGATAAAAAGAAGAAGAAAATATCATCTACGGAGCAAAAAAAGTAAAAATACATGTTTCAGGTGCCATTGATCTTTGCCTAGACCACCCATCATTTTCATGCCTAGCCCGTTGGCTTTCTGGACTCCCAATTCACTGCCCAGGGTCCTAACTCTTGCTTGAACTGCCCATGGCTATCCTGGACAGCCCCTTGACTATGTTCAAACAACAAATTGACTAATCAATATGAAGCTTTATAGGCATGGCGTCATTGAGATATACCGTACCATAGTGTCCTGCTAAATATGTAATTCGGAAAAGGAAGAATAAGTGTGTTGAAATGTTTTACAAAAATAGTTTAGTGGTTCAAATCATTGCTTCAAAGAATCATAATCAACACAGTTTAACTGCAGGCTAGAAGCATCATAACAGTGTAGAAGGCGGAAACCGGCAAAGGAAGTCGGATTCATAAAGAAATATCCTCACCAACTTCGCATCTTTCATAAAGAAATATGAATATTGTATATAAACATAACTAAAATGAACTATACCTTTTAAATCAAGTCCTTCAATCAACCCCCACACCAGCAATGGGATCATGTTGAAGTTCATATAAACATCAAATTTGATATCTGCCTTGCATCTTTCATTCGAAATTCGTAATAACCCATCTAAAGAATCCCATTACCCCCACATATAAAATATAAGCTACCCATTGACCTTAAACAATAAGCCAGAGATGGAAAATGAACTTTAGTTCTATATCATGTAAATACAGATAAACATAATACAATATCAATGTGTTAATACATCAAAACATTATCGTCCAATACCTACAAAAATTGGGGGGCCTATAAAAATGTAAAAGAAACTCAATTATTTACCTTCTACGTGCAGAGAACTATCTATGGTACTCACTTCTGCTTCGATAGAATAGAATAGGTGTATTCAAAACCAAGAACTAAGAACAGGAAAAGCATTTTATAGTTAAATTGGGCAGACCTAAATATTGAGGTTGGCCCTCACTTCTGCTTTATTTTACCACAACTTACATACATACATACATACATACATACATATATATATATATATATATACATATATATATATATATATATGTGTGTGTGTGTGTGTGTGTATTTTTTTTGCAAACATGAGATTAAGTAGTAATGGGCATAGAAGCCCCATCAGTAAACTAAATGCGTTTTTCAAAGATTCTATAATAATCCTCCACGTTTTTCATAATCCGGTAAACAAGTTATTATTCATAATCAGGAGAACTAATGTTTTTCCTAAAATTATCACCCAAAAGAGCCTCTTCAATATCATCAAGAGAAGGAACGAAATACCGGAATTTACCAATTCTCCTCTACGATTGGATAGGTGAAGCCAACATCAGTGTTCTTGTGAATTTTCCCAACTTCATTTGGGAAAATTTCATGGCTGCAATAGGCTTCTATTATCTCGATCGTCTTCACCTCCTTATATAAAGCATTACAACCTTCCCGGCGTCAGCATCTCTGTATTTACTGAGTTTAGCATTGGTTTCTTTAATGGCATAACAATTACAATCATACGATTAAAGTTTCAAACCAAAATGGTGGATACCTGGAGATGTTTGTAGCCATCCTAACTTGCTCATTTTTTCTGAGAGGACCGCTTCGGAAAATTTCAACAACCACTTGCTCAGTTTAAATAAGTCTGGTTGGCGTAGCCGGAACTGTAGTTCTGCCGACGCTGGAGCACAAACTCCGTCTTCTAGCCATCGAAAGTGCAAGCTTGCCATGGCTGGTCTGGTCACATCTGTGTCACATAACCATTCGCCGACGCCCAATGATGAACACGACGTTGCTGGCAATTCTTAATGAATATGCTTAGCCGATTGCTATCTCGATTCGGGGGTCACGCCTGCTGGAGATGTTGGCGACAGTTGGAATATCAAATTCACCGTAGTGATGATCGTTTATTGAATAACCTATTAATAGGCTACGTACATACAGTATTACAATTGCATACAAACTCTATCTATTCTATCTATCTAATCATGTGTACAAGAATGAGTCCAGATACATTATTAGTTGGAGCCGTATGAGCTAAACACTCGGTCAACCGCCTAAGGGATAAATACTACCAATAATATGTACAATTAATATATATTTGAAATATAGTATAATTAACATAAGTGGTGACCGTGTGAGGATAATAATGCATGGACTTTGCATGATTAATAATATTGGCTAACACGCCCCCGCAGTCGAATCGGGAGGACTACGGACGTTGAGACTGGACCGGAATTCGTCAAATAATATTCTTGGTAAACCTTTGGTAAAGATATCCGCAAATTGACGGCGGGACGGAATATGAAGAACACGAACTTCGCCCCGAGCAACCTTTTCCCGGACAAAATGTATATCCATTTCGATATGTTTGGTTCGTTGATGTTGAACCGGGTTGCCGGTCATATATACAGAACTAATATTGTCACAATAGACAAGTGTAGCTTTGGTAAGTGGGCAGCGTAACTCGGTTAATAAATTCCGAATCCAACAGGTTTCGGCCACAACATTTGCTACACCACGATATTCGGCCTCGGCGCTAGAGCGGGATAAAGTAGGCTGTCGTTTGGAGGACCAAGAAATGAGATTGTCTCCTAGAAAAACACAGTAACCGGAAGTAGAGCGCCGAGTATCGGGGCAGCCACCCCAATCGGCATCAGTGTAAGAAACCAAGTCCGTGAGTGAAGATGAGCCAAGGTGAAGGCCGAAGTGAAGCGTGCCCTGAATATACCTTAGAACCCGCTTAAGTGCATGAAAATGGGGCTCACGTGGATCATGCATGAACAAACAGAGTTGTTGAACGGCATAAGATATGTCAGGCCGGGTGAAAGTAAGGTATTGTAATATATATTTGAAATATAGTATAATTAACATAAGTGGTGACCGTGTGAGGATAATAATGCATGGACTTTGCATGATTAATAATATTGGCTAACAGCGACGATCTACCCACGAAAACTGAGAACCCCAACCTGACTATAATGATCCCTCCACCGGAAGCTTCTGGTATGGTTTCAGCCCGGTTTGGCGGTTTCAATCGATTGAACAGCCAGATGCGTGCAGAGAAGATTTGGATGCAAATTTTGAATAAGCTCTACTGGAAAACAAAAAAGACCGACACCTTTCTCGTCACCCGATGTGTAATACACAGTGCTCCGTCTTGTTCACTTGTTTAACCGTAAGTTAAAAGCTTCGTACACACAACACGGCAACACTGCTTGGTACATTACCCAATACGATGGAACAGGTGAATGAGCTCACAGTCCACCAGACCCTACCCAGTTTTGACCCGTATATTTAGGATTTTTAGACGCATCTTTCTTTCTCATGATGGTGACATTTTTGAGCGGGAAAATGGCCTCAATTCCACCTCTTTTTATATAGAGGTAGATTATATTTTTGTCCATTCCATTGGTTTGGAATAAAGGGTTTCAGTGTTGTATGTGTTCCAGGATAGCTTAATGGCAATTAGTGGTGCACCCAATCAGTTTCTGAACTGAGACGAGACACACCGTTTTTAGGTCATGGGAAAAGGAGAACCAGATCAATTCACTGGTCGACTCCAGTTTGATTGTTTGATTCTCAAAAAGAACTAGTATCAACTAGTCCTATTTTGGAGGAATCAGAGACCAGATTTCGGTTTCAGGTACCAGTTTGGTAATAAACTATATCTGGTATAGTCCAGGTCAAGAACTGAGATAGGATCCACCCCTAACGCTATTATTGTGACCCCCCCCCCCCCCCCCCTCCCATGGTGAAATACGTATAACCACGGTGATTATAGATAAATTTTAGGGAAAATGCCCAATATATACCACTCTGATATTGTTTGCTGGATCTAAAAGATCATTTTTTTTCTTAACAGCCATTATAAATGATTATAAGTAGAGCAGGGATGGCATGTTATTGAGAAAGATGCAATTTCGCTCACACAAATTTCCATCTAGTCACAAGTCGCAACTACCAAGGTTTGAACTTTGAGGTCTCCCACTGGTCTGGTGAAATACGTATGACCATGGGGATTGTAGTCTGTAGATAAATTTTAGGGAAAATGCCCAATATGTACCACTCTGATACTGTTTGCTGGATCGAAACATCATTTTTTTTCTTTACGATCAATTACAAATATTTATAGTAGACGTTTTTAAAACATCCACAGAAATGCATCTTTCAACAGAAACCAGCTTCCTCAATATTATTTTACAGTTCAATTGCCTTCGCAACACATCTTACAACCTCAACATTTCACTCCAAAAAAGATAACATATCTGGTGCAGGGAGGACATATTATTGAGAAAGATGCAATTGTGCACACACTGATTTCCATCTAGTCACAACTCACAACTACCAAGGTTTGAGGTCTCCCACTGGTCCAGTAGTCCAGTTCAAGATCTTTTCACCGGGTTTTAAGTAAACACTCCCATAGTGAGGCAACTTCCGAGCAAGTCCATTCAGAATCTGATGAAATGCATCCCCAGGCTGAGCCGGCTGTGGGAACAGCATAGCCTGTTTCATTGAAGGGTTTGCAAGCAATCTCTGCTTCCTCAAGATTTCCTCTGGCCGAATAGAAGTTAGGATTGTGTCCAGATTTGGCACATCCTTCTCTGCTACGTAAACCCCGATATCTTCCCATGGGATGGCATCAGCAAAAGGCAACACAATGTCATCAGCTATGATAACAGGGATGCAACCGAATATCACTGCCTCAACTAATCTTGGACTCCATGGTGCCCACCCGAGCGGACACAAGCAAAAGATAGCTCGCTGCATGTCTTCGTAGTATGTAGTTGGATGCTCTGTAGAGATGTCAAATAGAGGATTGTCCTTGAAGTTCTCCCACACCGCAGCTCGGGCCCCTCTGCAAAGGAAATTGAGGATTGTTTTTGAAGTCATGTTTTTATTTAAGACATATTTTATTTGTCATATATTTTTCATATTTTCTAATATTTTTGTGGCTTCTTCAAGTTAGGAACTTTAATGTTGTTATATATGGAGTGTGATGGATTGTATAAGATTATGGATTTTGAAATCCTAGGGGTGTCTACAAGATTTGTGGTGGAATGTTTGGTATGTAGAAATCCACCAAAATCAATTAAAATCCATCCAAATAAGTAATAATAGAAATTCATAGAATGTCTGAGAACACCATTATTTTCATGGATTCCACACAAATCCAAATCGGGGACACCTAAATACTGACCAAATTCTAAACTCCATTAAAACCCTTCATAATCCATATTAGGGACACCCTCCTTAACAATGTGTCTCAATACCTAAATGGTAAATAAGTAATTGGATAAAAAATGGGAGCAAGAAATATATACCTTGCGTAATAACCACCTTCAGGATCATTGCCAACGTCATAAAACAAACCTCGGAAGTAAACAAAGATGGATCGTGGAGTCTCTGGAGGGATAAAGTGCGATTGCATTTTCTGTGGAGGAGCATATGGAGGAATAGTAATGGACCCATCCTTCAAGCAAACATGATTTCGTTGTCCAAAAGTTTGAACCAAGGTTGCTCGCTGGAGTAGCGGAAGAATACCTCTTTCGATCGCTTTTTCCTCCTGCAATCCAAAACAAAGGCCAATATAAAATGAATGCTCCAGAAGCCTGGGGTTATGTCTCTTTCTCCAGAGGAGAGGGATGATTGGGGAGATTTAAATTTTATATCTTACTTGATAGTGAAAACAAGCCCCAAAATCATGGGGGACTATGAAGAAGTGATCAGCCCCTTCTGTCCTATTCCAGTAGGGCCAGTTGGAAGCAATAAGCTGTATAGCACTCCTCATCATGCGGGGTGACTTAAAGGGTAAAGGAAGACCATTTGGTGTGAGGTCACAAGTGGTGTACACGGGTGTGTAAAACCAATCAGCCTCCTCGGGGTTGAGAGTGCGCACAGGGCTGGATAAAAGGAAACGGTGCATATAAATCTCTGCAGCAAACATGTGGTTAAGACATCGTTGATCCTTCTGCAGAACTTTCTTGTTATATTTGCTTGGAAGCTCGTACACGAAAACTTTTAGCCTACCAGTAGGATCATCTTCCAGCACATCACCGGCACTGCCTGAATGTTTTTCAAGAAAGCAAAAAATGCAATTTTATTTTTATTTTTTTTCAAGAATACGAAGGATTCAAGTTGAAATGGGACTGGGTTTCCTTTCCCATGTTTCTAATCTCATTCTGTAGCATTGTCATTCATTAAAAAGCATCGCTCTTCCAAATCACTTTGTGCCCCCTACGTGTTACTACAGAAGGAATACGGGAACACTGATTCCAATAAAGAAAAAAGATCAAATTTTAAAGAAAAATGCGTGGAGTACACTATACTTTTTTTGTACACTTGTCTGACCCCCACAGACTTGTCTGTCCACAGACAACTCGTTGTTTGTAGAGTTGTCTGTGCGGGACAGACAAGTGTACAAAAAAAATGTACAACTTTTGTGTACACCTAGCTCAACTCAATTTTAAAACTTCCATTTCCTTTCCCACTGCTCCTTCCATACCCACAACCATGATTTCACCAGCCTAACAAACTTTGTTAAAAAAGGTTTGATGAAAACAAGTAAGAAGCAATTCCTATATCATGAACTATAATTTGATTGTTGTACTAAATATCTCTGTAAGACTGTAAATAAACTTTTTTTGATAAGCTGTAAATTTGGTTTGTTTCCTAATATACACAAAGGATACTGTCTTGCATACAGGTATACATACACTGATAGTATCTGAATCCTGATTTGGCATTCAAGACTGTCCCCACTCATAGTTTACTTTTGACTTTTGTCCTCCAAATATGTTAAATTATCGAATGTGGTCCCTATAAATCTCAAATAATAAGTAATGTCACCATTTCTAATCCATTAGTTATTTTAGCAGTGGTCCTTTTAGTCCCTCTTGGAAGAAAACTTTAATTCATAATCCCTCTGTCCGAAAAATAAAGAACCTTATTTCAAACATTTTTGTCCCAATAGCAGTCAAGTTAAATCAAATGTATTTAATTTTTCATGTGATTTGATGAAAGATAGTCACAAACCGACTACATAACATTAATTTGGGCAAATTAACAAACAAATTCAAAAGCATAAGTAAGATACTAAGATTAATTAATTATCTCACTTGTCCCTTATACTGTACCTTGGCCAACAAGGCTCTTTTTATGGGATGGCGGTAGTAATATGAAGTGTTTAAGCCTATAAAATCCAATCCGCAGAACTAAAAAGCATAATATAGTCATAAAAATCATATACTCGGAGTAGATAACTTGATTTTTAAACTGCTTTACTTTTTGTTGATGAAAATTAATATAAAATTTCTTATGAATTGCAAACATATTCCAATCGTTTGTTAACCTTATGAATTGTTTAAACTCAAGAGAATCAATAATATCAAATGTAATTCAAATAAAGAGAATTGTTTAGACCAGGAGAGATTATTATTGACTCTGCTCTGTTGTATGACAAGATAATACCTAAACATGGTTACAAAAGCAGGAAATTCATCTAGTAACATTTAGAACTTAGAAGTGGTAAAATTGAGCCAGATTGACTTTTTAATGACTTGAACATATAATAAGAGAAGTTGTGTGCATAGTAGAGCTGCCTGGAGAGAACGCAACACTACTCATCAAAGACTTATGATGTTTGACATTCGTATAGGAGATCAGGTTAAGAACAATGTTGCTCAGATGGACCATATCATTATATTATGGAGGTTTAAAGAAGGCAATGTCAAGTCATTTGTTGACAAAGTAGCTGCAGGGGGTAACTGGACAATGGAAGATGGTGCAAATATTACTTGGACGGAGCTGAAATATGCATGTGCATAGCAAAATAGGTTCAGGGTGAACCAAAGGGAAATTTTGTAATAGAGAGAACACGACCTGGTGGAATGAAGATGTCAAAGTAAGCACTAAGGAGAAACATATATACTACTACCAGTTGGAAAAGCATAGGGATAACGAGAATCTGAGAGAAGTAAACTATTGCTCAAATCAAAAGAAAAAGAACAACAACATGGGGTGCCAGGTCAAAATTACACAACAATATATATGAAAATTGGAGTCGAAGGAGGGAGAAAGACATGCACATTATCCGTTCTTTTTTTTTATCATAGGACTTAGACTTCACACTATTTACATACCCTACTTCGAGCATATTATTTACAAAAGCATAAAGGTAAATCATATTAGGAATATTAATTTGTCTAATTTCTATCAACTTCTTATAATTTCCAGTATTGCATTATTTGAAAAGAATGGAGGAATATAAGATAAATTAATGTAAAAATGATAGTTAGCTGTTTAATTAGATAAATTAATCAATCTACTAATAGTCTAATACCGATCATCATCATCATCATCACCCCAGTGCCGCAAAGGCTCCCACTTACAGTGGGGTAAGGGGGGGTCGGATCTCGGATGTACGCAGCCTTACCTCTCTATTATTAAAGTACAGAAAGACTATTTTCGGATGGCCCATAGGGAAAATCGAGTCGAACATTGCATAGACTGGCTGTTGCTTCATTACAGAGAGACTATTTCCGGATAACCATTAAAATACTAAAGTTAATGAAACTAATCATAGAGGGGCTAAATTTACACTTTCTCTATATTGGGGGAACCCGATGTTCTATTTCCATTTTCCCCTTTTCTTTTTAGAAAATTTCAAACACTGCCTAAGTCCAACCCATACAACAATATGAAGAAAGACATTACCAAAACCCTAATTATCTAACATTTGAACCTGAATACACCAAGTTGGTATTTTAGACCACACTAGTGGTTTTAAGATGCAACAGAGAAGATAACCAAGAGCAGAACATATAGAAAATCAACCAAATCAATCAGCTTCAAAGATCTTACAATTCTCTTCAGTTTACACATTTAGCCCTTGTTTGGTTGGAAGGAAGGAAGGAAGGAAGGGGAGAAGGGGCTGAAAGTGGAGGACCTATACAGTATACACTTCCCAAACTCTTGAATGTCAGTCTCAATTTGAGGTATTTAGGAGGAGCTCTCTTTTCTGTTGATTTCTTTATCACATTTTTTATCAAAAAAAATTTACAATCAATATATATATATAAAAGAGGAACTTTTTAAGAGCATACCAAGCGCCACATAAGCCTGCCATGTCATTATGTATAACAATTATTTAGTTATTTTTATACCTTTTGTTTTTATTAGATTCTATTTTTGATTGCATATTGATATGGAAACAAAAATCCTTAAAAATCCACCTTAATTAATTTGGTAAGCTTCAAATAAGTAAAATAATTTTTGGTTATCAAAGTGAAATTCTAATAACGTTTATTGATATGGAAACTAATTAACATAAGTTTACTAAACGGAATTAAATAGAAACAAATATGCAAATTAGTTTACTTATTAATTTGACACCTATTAATAAATTAGTAAGCTTCAAATAAGTAAATATTTAAAAATGAAATTAAAAATTATAACCAACATAAAGTATATATATTTTCACAAGTAAATACGTTTAGCCTAGCTAAATAAGTAAATATTTTTGGTTGTTTCTTTAGTTTACACCTAAAATTTAAATATGCCTTCACTTTTGAAATAGATTCCTAATCCAAATTAGAAAATCTTTATATGTTTACAAATTCCTACTTTTATTTTAATAGAATGTTTTTAATTGGATTGATTTCAGTTCCAAATTAAATCAGGTCAGATCAAACTTTAATAATTATAACAATAAGTCACATAAAAAACAGACATCTAATAGACCATATTAATTCATACCAAATCAAACCCAAAATTTTAATTCAATTAAAAACATTTTTATTACTGAGTAAAGTGTAAGATCTAACAATTAAGAAATATAAAAAAAAATTAATATTGAGTTCATAACAATTATGTTTACTTGAGATGCTTATGTAGAAGACCAATTTAACTTTTTTTCATATAATTTTTCCTTTGTTTCACAAATGGAATATATTTCACAATTATTTTTCATGATTAAGGAGATTCCACCTATTTAACGAGAATTCAATCAATTTCAGCAAAATAAGTTAATTATATTTATTTTAGTATTATCAAACAGACTCAATATTAGACTAAGTTTATTTTTCTTTTAAATCACATTATATGTGATCCGATAGAAATTAAATTTCAAATTAGCTAAATTACATACTGCCCGTGCATCGCACGGGCTTGAAAGCTAGTATTATTACTATTAAAGGTCACAAATGAAACTTATTAAGGGACAGAATGAATATGTATTTTTCTAAAATTATACGGAGTTATTGAGAGTTGTTTTTTTTATTTGCACCATTTATTATTCAGGGCCCACTTGTATATGTAGGGTTCCTAGTTTCTATATATTATAGCTATATATATGTGTGCATGTATTGCATTTTACGTATGAAGAAATACTAAGAGGACTCACACTTGTGCCTCTCTATGTAATAATATTTCTTCTCTATTGTAAAATTGTTCCTTAGTTCCATTTATATATATTCATAAATTTCAGTTTTAACATGGTATCAGAGCCGAAACCTGGAAATCAATGTCCTCGTTAGAGATTCAAAATAATACTTTCTTTGCCTTTCTCCCATGATCACATCGACATGGCAGAAGTATCATTTAACACTCTCACTTGGATAATTGATTCTGGTGCAAGTGAACATATCACTTGTAAAGAAGATAATCTCTTCAACATCCAAACTCACCCCTTCGAGCCGTCCGTCAGAATCCCCAATGGTGAATTAGTTCCAGTTTCTGCTGTTGGAAGTCTATACCTATCAAATGGGTTATGTCTTCGGCGCGTTCTTTATATCCCACAGTTTCAGTGCAACTTGCTCTCTGCCAGCCGTCTTACTAGCGATCTCAATTGCACACTTATTTTTTCCTCAAGTGGTTGTATTTTAGAGGAATTATACTCAAAAAGGATAATTGGGAGAGGCCGACTCCATAATGGTCTATATTACCTGGAACCGTCAAAAGGTGAGGAGGTAACAGCGTCAGCTATTTTTGGTCCTGATTTATGGCACCTACGGTTGGGGCATGCTTCTGACGGAAAACTCCAACACATCGGGTTTCTCAAGGGTTTTCATCGTGACAGTAATTTTTGTGACCCCTGCGTGCGTGCCAAGCAAACCCGCCTTTCTTTTCCCGAAAGCACAAGTAAGACTTCTTGTTGTTTTGAATTGATACATTGTGATATATGGGGAGGATATAGGTGTGATTCTACTTCCGGAGCACGTTATTTTTTATCCATCGTAGACGATTTCACTCGAGGTGTTTGGGTTTACCTTATGAAGAATAAATCGGAAGTTTGTCAGCATTTGATACAATTTTGTAATATGGTGGAAACTCAATTTGAAAAACGAGTTAAGCGAATACGATCAGATAATGGATTGGAGTTTCAGACTAAACCATTATTTGAGTATTATGGACGTCGTGGAATTATTTGTGAGACGTCGTGCACAGATACTCCCCAACAAAATGGGGTTGTAGAGCGCAAACATAGACACATTTTGGAGGTCGCTAGAGCACTTCGTTTTCAGTCGGGGTTACCTATTGATTTTTGGGGAGAATGTATTCTTACCGCGGTTTACATAATAAATCGGCTACCCTCACCCATTATTTCAAATAAAAGCCCTTATGAAATGCTATTTGGAAAAATACCTAGCTATGAACACTTACGGGTATTTGGGTGCTTGGTGTATGCACACGACAACAAACGTAAAGATAAATTTGGTGAAAGGGGGAGTCCGTGTATTTTTCTTGGATATCCCTATGGTCAAAAGGCCTACAGAGTTTTTGATTTACGAAAGCAGGACATTTACAGCTCGAGGGACGTGACTTTCTTTGAAAATGAGTTTCCATTCAAATTAATAGAACAAGAAGGGCATGATTTTGGATTTATAGTTAATCAGGTCTACAACAAAGTAATTGAAAATTGCAGCACTTCTCACGTTCAGCCAAAGCCACGTTCTCGACATTTACAAGAAGGATTTGACCTCCCATCCACCAGGTCACCCTCAGATTATTATTCACCGATGAAAACACCTTCTGGACGAGTGGAGCCGCCCAACTGCCATCCTACTACTCCTTCGCCGAAAGTCTCACATGAGACTAATTGGCGTCCTGGTCCGCCAGTTGTATGCCCTCCCATCTGCAGACGTCAAGACCAACAACAGGAGAAGGACTGCACGAATGTGGATACTGGGTCAGCTACTTGTCCTCTTGTGCCCGCCGAACAAGTTAATTTTCGGCCATCTACTCTTGAACGCAGCAATCAAATAGATGTTGGGCCAGATCCCCTTCACATAGCATCTTCTGGACGGCCCCATAATATGGCAGCCCCTTGGCTTCACTCACCTACCGCTCATCTCCCTTCTCCGCAAGCTGTCAGCAAGGATCAGGACGATAATGGGGCTTTGGATAGTGAATTTGAATCAACTGATTTCGTGCCTACGACAAATGAGGTTAGAAGAAGTGACAGAATTAGGAGGCTCCCTTCACACTTGGCTGCCTTCGATACGGACTTACCGCCCTCTTTGACTCACTCCAGGCCCGCCAATTCGGCGGGCTCCACACAATATCCCATTTCTAACTTTCTAAATTATGAAAGGTTTTCAACCAAACATAGAGCATTTTTGGTCGCCATCTCTTCACATAATGAGCCAAAAACATTTTCTCAGGCTGTTCAAAATCCATTATGGCGGGAAGCTATGCAAAAGGAGATTCAAGCTTTAGAAGAAAATGGTACGTGGACTCTGGTTCATCTACCGTCAAACAAAAAATTAGTGGATTCCAAATGGGTTTATAAAATCAAGTATAAACCAAACGGAGAAGTAGAACGCTACAAGGCTAGATTGGTTGCAAAAGGTTTCACACAAGTTGAAGGAGTTGATTTTCATGAAACTTTTGCTCCAGTTGCCAAACTGGTCACGGTACGATGCCTATTAGCGGTAGCAGCTAAGAAACATTGGGAAGTTCACCAATTAGACGTGAACAATGCTTTCCTTCACGGAGATCTTTCTGAGGACGTTTACATGCGTGTTCCTCAAGGTTTTTCCAAAAATGGAGATACTCGTGTTTGCAAATTACAAAAGTCACTCTATGGTTTACGACAAGCATCTCGTAATTGGTATCACAAATTTACCCAATCACTGCTGAAAGTTGGTTTTCGTCAATCTCATGCGGACCATTCTTTATTCATTTTCAGAAGAGGTCTCGTCCAGACATTTGCTCTCATATATGTTGATGATGTAATTCTAGCCGGAAATGATGTCTCCCACATCAATGATACTAAACGACATCTGGATGAAAATTTTAGCATAAAAGATTTGGGTCCGCTAAAATACTTTCTTGGTATTGAGGTTGCTCGCTCTCCAAAGGGTTTTGTGCTAAGTCAAAGAAAGTATACCCTTGACATCCTGAACGAATGCGGTCTCCTAGCCGGTCGTCCTAGTTTGTTTCCTATGGAACAAAATTTGAAACTTCGACCAGATGATGATAGCCCACTCGTAGATGCTTCATCATATCGTCGTTTGATCGGACGTCTATTATACCTCACCGTCACTCGCCCTGACATTGTCTTCTCAGTCAGTCAACTAAGCCAGTTTCTCCATAAGCCGCGCCAAACTCACCTTGATGCCGCTATACGTGTTCTTCGCTATTTGAAACAAACCCCAGGACAAGGCATTTTTCTCTCTGCTGATGGAGATTTTACATTAAAGGCGTATTGTGATGCAGACTGGGCAGGATGTTCTTTCACTCGCAGATCTAGTACTGGTTATTTTATCGCTCTTGGGAGTTCACCGATTTCTTGGAGAACAAAGAAACAATCTGTCGTTTCACGGTCTTCCGCGGAAGCAGAATATCGTGCCATGGCCGTAACTGTTAGTGAAATCTTGTGGTTACGATGGTTGCTGCGAGATCTCACGGTTCATCAGTCCAGTCCTACATCCCTCTTCTGTGATAATCAAGCAGCACGTCATATTGCACTTAACCCTGTTTTTCATGAACGCACCAAACATGTTGAAATAGACTGTCATTTCGTACGGGAACGCGTTGCTAGTGGGGAAATAAATCCATGTTATATCTCCACTACACATCAGACAGCAGATATTTTTACTAAAGCACTTGGCACTGATCGTTTTCAGTTTCTTCGCAACAAGTTGGGTGTTTGTGACCTCCACACTCCAACTTGAGGGGGAGTATTGAGAGTTGTTTTTTTTATTTGCACCATTTATTATTCAGGGCCCACTTGTATATGTAGGGTTCCTAGTTTCTATATATTATAGCTATATATATGTGTGCATGTATTGCATTTTACGTATGAAGAAATACTAAGAGGACTCACACTTGTGCCTCTCTATGTAATAATATTTCTTCTCTATTGTAAAATTGTTCCTTAGTTCCATTTATATATATTCATAAATTTCAGTTTTTCAGTTTTAACAGGAGTACTTCATACTCAATCTTCCATAATAACAGAACTGAAGCTCAAACAATTGAAAGAGTTTAAGGAATTTATATTAACTGCGATTAAATAAACGGAAAAGGGCGGAATTGGAGTTTTACCTTCAATTCTCTCAGTATGGTGACTCTGGTGAAACCTAAGCGCTCCAACACTCAGTAGAAGCGCAAAATAAAGATATAAAACAAACCCCAATACGAAATTCCTCATTCTCAAACCGAATCTTAGACAAGGCACATCAGAATATCAGCAATTCAGATGGAGTCCAAAAGTGAAGTATAGAAATAAATCACACCCTAATTTACAGAAGATTGAAAAGTAGAAAGGTTCCAGAAATGTAAAGGATGCTGTACAAAGGTTTGAATGCCGTTAGCTAAGCTGAAGAAGGTGTTTCTTCCAGACGCTTTCTCTTGATAATGGGTTTTCCGAAGACCGCTAAGGAACAAATAAAAGAGGAATTGTTTTGAGAAAACTGTCAAACAAGCCCCCGTACTATATCAAAATAGTCAATTAAACCCTCGTACTTTGAAAACACCCAATTACACTCTCAAACTATTAAAAAACTTCCAATTAGGCTGTTTAGCAGGTATAGAACCGGTTACCCGGTTAGTTGCACATGTGGCTAGCCACATGGCATTTTTTCTCTTTTTCCTTTATTTTTCTCTTTCATTTTCTGTTCGCTTTCTCTGTTTTTTTTTTGCCTTTTCTCTCTCTGTTTTGGTTCCCATCCTTCCAGACTTCCTCCAGCTTCCCCGTCAATCCCCATCTTCCCATGAATGCCCAATGATCACTCCTCTTTCTCTTTGATTCTTTGTCTTTGTTTTCCTTTTTTCTTTTTCTTTTGCTCTTTCTTTCTTTCCTTTGGCATGAGGAGACAAGCGGCCGTCACCTGAGTTATTGTCGCCGGAAGTCCCAACAGAACAACCGGTCAGCCGTGTTTGCAGCTTGGGACCTTTAGTACGAAGGAAGAAGCCGCCTGGACGGGCTCAATTTTGCTTCTCGATTCGAACCTAAAACAACAGGGGCGGATTGCCAAAGCCCAAGACAGGAGCCGCCCTCACCGGAATTTCTGCCCTGGCCGGAATTACCGCCCTCACCAGAGTTCGCCGCAGATCCCAGCTAGAAGAGCTGCTTTTGTGGCGAAGGAAGTGACCTGACCTTGGATGTGGCGGAGGAAACCGCTAGGGAGGAATCGTTCTCATGTGGGAGATGGGAAAGTCCGTCAAATCTGCCTTGTGAAGCTGTGGAACGGCAAATTGAAAACACAGAGAAACAAAAAATAAAGCAAAATGAAAATACAAAGAAAAAACGAAAAAATACCGCATGATTCTTGCCACGTGTGTGGCCACGTGTGCAGCCATGTGCGCAGGTAACCGGGAAACGGGTTGAAGACCTGCTAAAAAGCCTAATTGGAAATTTTTTAATAGTTTGAGAGTGTAATTGGGTGTTTTCAAAGTACGAGGGTTTAATTGACTATTTTGGTATAGTACGAGGGCTTATTTGATAGTTTTCTCAATTGTTTTTATTTTGAGATGACACTGTTTCAAGAAAGGAATAGCCAGAAAAGGGGTGAGTGAGTTGTGCATGGATCATTTTTTTTTTTTGAAGAATGAGACTTGTTTCAAAGTATTAGTATTCAAAAACGAAGTAAAAAAATAGGCAATCACAAACAACTTACCCCGCGCACCAGACTTGGAGTTAATCACTTTTAAACAAGCAATATAACTCGTTGATTCATTAATGGACAAACTTGAGCCACGGACGATTGAAGCAGCCCAAACTTCACCAAATACTCATGCATGAGTCTTACAATTGAAAGAAATAGCAACAAAATAAAACATAGCACCTTCATCGCCATGAGCACCTTCATCGTATCCTTTCTTGAGCTCTCCGGCCATCCAACGCAAACCGGTGGGCCTACAGGAGGTCCGCCTTTGCTCCGTTTTTTTGTTCGTCAAGTGTCATGTCTTCCCCTGTAGCAGCAACTTCTTTCTCTTCTTCCCAGGTCCTACGCTTTGATTCCCCCGAGGTCTACTCTGGACTAACTGAATTTCCTTCCTTGATGGAGCTAGTCCAGTGCATGTATTCTCCTTCCAATATTGTCTATCATTATCCTGCCCATCGGACAACCCCACCCCAGTACTGGAGGACCCTTCAACCAACCACCTAATACCCCCTGTAGGAATGGTCTTCACCCCAGTCCCAGCTCTAAGATCAACTTCATAATTTTTATCAAAAGTGATATTCACCCCCTCATATACTACCAGGCAAAACTTATCAGAATACCTAATAATACCACAAACAAAACAGAAATTTGGGAGCTTTTCATACTTAAAATCCATCCATTGACTAAATCCCACCTTTTTCAAAGTAGTACCTTTTTTCAAAGGTCTCCTAACATCCATGCGAAATCTAATTCTCAAATATGACTTCCAGTTTTCATCAAATTTTCTATCATCAAAACTAATGAATTTACCAATATAATTACCAATATGTCTAGCAGATCCCAGATTCATAACACCATAAGCAGCATTGTGTACTTTCACCCAAAAATCAGCCTCATAGAGTCTAATCTGTAAAAGAATATCCTCTGCCTGAATCTCTTTTAGCAACAATAAATTCCGTTCAAACAACCACAGACATTCATCAAGAACACGCCCGATAAGTCCATTTTTGTACTTATTTTTCTTATCAAATTTAAGCGAATTTTGATTGAAAATAGAAAGAAAATACATGTTTTAGATATTTTTATTCAAGTTTCATGAAATCAGGAGAAAATCACATTCATAATATGTTTGCCGGAATTTTGGGTCAATTGAGCACAAAATGAGTCAATTTGAGTAACAAATGAATTCATACCGGAAGAAGCAAGCATTATATTCAAGTGATCCAGAAGACAATCTTGAAGAGCAGGAAACACAACATTTGCCAGACAAATTTAGCAGAAGGCGCCCAAGGAGTCGACCATTCTGGGCACCTGGTTGGCCGCCTACGGAAAAAATCAGAAGTCAACATTGACTTTGACTCAAAACCCGAAGAAGACCGAAGGCTGCCGACACTCAACAAAAGGCGGCCGCCTTTGGTGACCGCCTGCGGCACAAGGCAACACGAGCAACCACTGGCCGGTGTGTGATGCGACGGTAGGCGGCCAGACAAGAACGGCAGGTGGCCACCTGCTGGACCGCCTGCGGCTGACGTAGACCGCTAGATTTGAATTGCTGGCGACATGACGGTAGGCGGCCGGAAGTGGACGGAAGGCGGCCGCCATTTTGGGCGCCTGCGAGAAAATTCGGGCTATAAATAGCAGGCTTTTCCTCAACTTAAACACACCATTCTAAACCCTAAATTAGCTCTCAACAGCCTCCTTCTTTTATTTTCAAGCTCCAAGGTCTAGTAGAGAGAGAAAGCTTCAATCATGTAACACCCTGGCCCCGTAGGACCCGAGGGAGTTACTCCAGACCACTAGTACTGTCCTCCACAAACCACCACAAGCCTATACCGCGCACTTTGTCCTCACTCATGCGCGCCCTGAGAAACTTTCCAGGAGGTCACCCATCCCAAGACTACTCTCGTGCAAACACGCAAACACGCTTAACTTTGGAGTTCTTGGGTGATGAACTCCCTTAAAAGGAGATGCACCTCTGTTGGTATGAATAGTACTATTAATCCATTTATATTAAATCTCAAGTGTTACAATCACCCCCACTTAGGATCGCAACGTCCTCGTTGCGTCCTTAAACCAATCTCAATTAAATCCCAGAATCTTCCCCGCTAAGTGCCCTGCCCGATATCCAACAGGTCAGCACACTGTCACAGGGTTGCTCTGATACCACCTGTAACACCCCGGCCCCGTAGGACCCGAGGGAGTTACTCCAGACCACTAGTACTGTCCTCACAAATCACCACAAGCCTTTACCGCGCATTTTGTCCCCACTCATGCGCGCCCTGAGAAACTTCCTAGGGGGTCACCCATCCCAAGACTACTCCCGTGCAAACACGCTTAACTTTGGAGTTCTTGGGTGATGAAATCCCTTAAAAGGAGATGCACCTCTGTTGGTAAGAGTAGTACTATTAATCCATTTATATTAAATCTCAAGTGTTACAAATCCTCCATAACCTCTTCATTTTAGCTCCAAATTGTAAGTTCTTTATATGTATTTTCATCTTCTCAATGAGTAGAATCTGAATCTGTGCTTTTTTTGTTCGATTTGTTTTTAAAAAATTTCCAGAAAATTTATCAAGTATTTCGCATTTACTTCCAGAAATTAAATAAAATAGTTGTTGATGTTGAATTCATTCCAATTAATTATATAGTTGTTCACTAGCCTCAAGGTAGTTAATTATATGATTAAAGTTAATTTTCACGCATCCGAAGTGATTTTTAATTAATTTCGGTAATTATTTGATATTATTGCATAAATTAGAATAAATACTCAAAAAAAGGAAAAAAAATTAGTTTCGACCCTAATTCCAGTTTAGTTCACTGTAGTATAACCACCAATAGTTAATAGAAAATTTAGAACGAAATTAGGATATTTTTAGTTGCTTTTTGCATTTTATAGTTAATATTGGGAAAATTATCAATTAGTTGTTAAAATTGGATTTTAGGTTCATAAATTCGTGAAAAATTCCAGAAAGTTATATTTTAGTTCCTACAAGTTTATTTTTCCAGAAAATACTTTTTGTTTAATTTTTTGCTATTATACATGTTTAATCCCTTGTCATGTTGAATATATTCATTATATTGTTAAATGCAAAAATGAAATCTAGTAGCTAAATTTGTCTTGGGCATGAATTGAGAAAAGGAATATGGATTGACTTGTTGACCGAAAATTAGGGATTAAAATTAATAAATTGTATTAGTTGTTTAAAAATGATGAAATAGTAATTAGTAATTGTTAGCCATTTTCATTAATTAAATTCTTGGAAAATTATTTCTAACTTGTCTATGAGATTAGAAAATAATTTAAGCCAACCATATTTGAGCACATTAATAAGGCCTAGAAATAGGATAATTTAATGAAAGGGATTTACATCTTGTCTATGAGAAATAAATTCAATTGCTTAAATAAAGAGTTTAACTAGTTAATGAATTTGGCTATTTTTATTAATTAAAATATTGGAAAATTATTTCTACCTTGTCTATGGGATTAGAATATATTTTAAGCCAGTCATTTTAAACACATTAATGATACCTAGAAATAGGATAAATTAATGAAAAATAGTTTCTATTCTTGTCTATGGGAAAGAAATTATTAGTCCAATTTTAGTTTTAATTTCCCTAATTACTAGGTTCAAGAATATATACATTTCTAATTACTCAATTCATTACCCTTATTTGCATCAATCCTTAAAACACTTAATCTTTAAACATCAATCTTTAAATTGAATCTTGCTACTAGTTATA